CAATGCAAAACGAATTCTAGCTAGAACTAGCTTCGCTCTTATCTCGGAAAAAATCAGACTTACACGCACCGAACTCGATCAGTTAGACAAGACACTCTACAAATCACACTTAAAATTGACAGCAACAATGTCTACATCGGATTGGGAACATGTAGACAATATGACTACCTCTTCGGCTGCCACTATGTCGAACAAATGTAGGGACAATTTGATTTCCAAATTCAATCACCTCTCCAGCAAAAAATCGGATCCACACACCGAAAAGATAGACGTCAACAAAGTCGTAATTAATCGCAGTAACAGTTCCATTTCTGATGGTCTGAAATCCGTTTTAGCTAAAGGTCTAAACTTTGCTGTCACACCGAGACACTTACCGGTTAATGATATCATTGCCCATGTTGACGTTGCACTCAAGGGCTTGAGTCACATCTCTGCAGACGTAGCAAGATCTGAAATCGCTGCAACCCTCAAAAACGCTAAGTTGCCACCCAGCAACATCAGCAAAGACGAACGTTTTGAATTATCTCAATTAAAAAAGAGGGATGATATTGTCGTTCTCTCAGCTGACAAAGGCAATGCCACTGTCATCATGGACAAAACAGAATATAACAACAAAATTCAAGAACTACTCAACGATGGCAGCTATACAAAAATAAAAAGAGATCCCACCAACAGCCTGGTCACCAAAACGAACAAAATTATCTCTGATTCAACAGCATTAATTGATGAGATCAAACAGTTCTCGTTGAAACCCTCTGCTGCCAGACCACCAAGATTATATGGCCTTCCAAAGATACACAAAGAAGATACACCCCTTCGTCCCATCGTCTCTACTATCAGCTCCCCCACCTACAAACTGGCACGTTTTCTGGCTGATATACTGCGACCTTTCACTGGAAAAACCACCTCTGCGGTACTAAATTCTACTCACCTGGTATCGACAATCAAAGACATTTCCCTGTCCCCAAACGACCTGCTTGTCAGTTTTGATGTGGTGTCCTTGTTCACCAAAGTCCCGGTACCTGACACCATCGCTATCATTGAAGACCTGGTTCATCAAGGACTGCATACTGATGTACCCCCCCTGGTGAGACATTGCTTAACCAACACATACTTCACCTGGAATGGAACTTTCTACAAACAAACTGAGGGCACCCCAATGGGCTCCCCCCTATCTCCGGTTGTAGCCAACGTATTCATGGAAAAATTTGAAACTGACGCCATCCAGACTGCCACTCTACGCCCGACCTTATGGAAGAGGTACGTTGATGACACCTTTGTCATCTGGCCACATGGCCAGCCTGCTCTAGACCAATTCCGCGACCACATCAATTCCATACACCCAGCCATCAGATTTACCATGGAGGTCGAAAAAGATGGCAAACTACCCTTTCTGGATGTCTTAATTAAAAGGAGACATGATGGTTCAATGAGCCACTCTGTCTACAGGAAAGCTACCCATACAGATGCTTACTTGAAACCGGATTCCCACCACCATCCATCCCAGAAGAACTGCCTCATCAAGACTCTATACCATAGAGCCCAATGCATTTCCGACCAGGAACACATTACCAGTGAACTCAAGCACGTACACCAGGCTCTCAGGGCTAATGGCTACTCCGACTACACAATCCGCAAAGCCATCACTCCAGTCATGAAGAAGGATCCTCTTGTGGAGCCACTCAAAACCATCACCTTACCCTACATTGCAGGGGTCACTAAAAAGATCTCCAAAATCCTGAATAAACACAAGATCCAGGTCCGATTCAACACAGTACACAAAATCCGTGATTTAGTTCCATCTGTAAAAGATGCTCTTCCAGACATACAGTACCCAGGCGTTTACAAACTAAAGTGCCTCTGTGGTAGTAGCTACATTGGAGAAACCAAAAGACATATCTCGGACCGCATCCGCGAACATAAAGCAGACTTGAAACACGGTAAGACGAACTCCTCTGCCGTGGCAGACCACTGTTACAATTCAGTGGGCTCACATGACATTGACTTCTCCAAGACGGAGGTTCTTTGCAAACCAACCGGCTACCATGAGAGATTCGTTCATGAGGCCATTCACATATACAAGCACAGAGACAATTTCAACCGAGAAGATGGATTCAGGCTTAGTAACCACTGGAAAGATGTGTTAAATCATTTCTGTTCTTAATTAATTGTAATTTTACGATGTCCTTCAGACCGCAGCTCTTTCGCCAGCATTGCCTCTTAATACCTCTCACACCACGGTTAATGGTATGGTTTACAACATGGAGCATACTAGGGCCTCGCAGCTGTCTCTCTCCCCCTCCTCTGTTCCGACCATGGACGAACTCGTCCGTCTGAACGGGGCCCATAGCTATCCGTGGTACGGAAATTTGAGGGTAAGAATCCACCCATTTTTTCGCCATATAGCATTGTGATATATAACGACTTATGGTTGGTGGCTTAGCTGATTGGAGAATATAGAGTTTATTGATAACATGAAGGTAATTTATATTTTAGTTTTTATTGGTTCACTATATAGTACTGTGAATAGCTCAGATGTGTAGTCATTTCTGTGACCAGTCACTAGCAAATCACCCAGTTATTTCAATGCTAAATTCGCCTAGTTATTTCAATGCTAAATTCTCCTGTTTGATTTGTACTAAGTGCCTCGGTGAATGTGTATGCTCTGACTTCAACGTAGCTATTTCTGTAGCAGTTACAAGCGAATCACTCAGCCATTTCAATGCTAAATTCTATGCTAATCCCATTGTCAAGGGGTGCCTCTGCGGATGTGTATGCCTTAACTTAGCTATTTCAATGCTAAATTCTATGCTAATTCCTTTTAACAATGGGTGCCTCTGCGGATGTGTATGCTTTAACTTTTAACATAGCTATTTCTGTGACCAGTCACAAGCTAATCATTCAGCCATTTCAATGCTAAATTTTATGCTAATTCCTGTGTCAAGGCTCTTTGTTCCTCTCACACAGCTTAAAAGCCGTGATCTGAACGTGGCTCTCTCACTCCAGCGCTGTCCTACCAGACAGTCTCGCCCCCCTTCACCTGATGAAGGCCGCTTGTGTTGTGGCCGAAACGTCGTGAGAATATTATTGTGTTATTTGATTTTATCAATTTATTATTTTATTCTCATTCTACGTGACTTTACCGAAAGAACCAAAGAAGATGAATCATTGCAGTCACGAAAGCTTTAAATCGAAATTCAATCCAAGAGTTGTGTAAATTTCACAACCAGACCAAAACATTGCTATTAGGTCTAACTGAAAATTCATACAGAACCACGTGTTGTGAGAAACACAATCAGTAGTAACAGAGTGGATAACGCGTCAGTAAAAATGTTCTTAAATTGGTCTGTAAAACAAGTGGCATATTTAATTACCTCCATGACATGATTTTCATGGGAAGCAAGATTGGAAATGGTATATATACTTACAAAGAGTAAAACAATTACATTTGTCTATTTACGTTAAGTAAATATGTGGATATACAGTCTACTATTCAAAACATTGTATCTGCAAGTATTTTATGAAAGCAGGTACGCCTGTCATATCATCGTTTCAAATCGAGCTATCCTCAAAATATGCGTGATACAAACTATAAAAACAAATATTCAACTGTTTTAAATATTCTTCATACATATACAACCCAAACGCCTGTAAGCACAATCTGTCAGGATTTACATTTTTGTAAGAGTTTTATATTCACGTGTACTCGCATCGCCAATTTAAAAGATTCATTAAATTCAGCACCGAGGCTCGGGTAACTGCGTTTAAAATAAAAAAAAGTCGCCCAAGGCATAGCGTCGGGTTATTTAAACTAAGCAGAAGGGCAGTCGCGGATGTGCAGGTTAAGAGGGCAAGCAGCTCGTGGTTTAAAGGGAGAGGGAGAGATAGACGCCACGCGCAGCTGGTCTGCTTCCTCACCAGTGCGCATCTGCAAAACTTGGGGATAAAATTAACGAACTTAATGGGAGCGCAGTCTCATGCAAACGAAGACGAATTCACTGATTCGTGTATTTGTATATACGTAACAACATTCTCCGCAGGGTGCATAGACACCTGAACAACGTTGTTACTGCATGACGTGCTGCATCTACACAAAAATACACGACAACTAGGTAAATACGACAATTTAGCCGCAAAACGAGCAATCTAAACTCACTTCTTTTTTTGCTTAACTCCGAGGCGCCCATTGACAAAGATACAATGCATCAAATGGATTGACGACGGGGAGCCGTACCGCACTGGTTCGCGCACCACTGCGTCGCGAACCCCGGTACAGTTGTTCGAGTTCGATTCCCGGTCACGACTAACATCACACCAATAGGGGGGCGAGTGACCTCTGAACCATTCCTTGGGCCTCTCCGCTTCAATTTACGCGCATTGACCGGCGTGGTCGGTAGTTACCACGAAACCCGCATAAGGCACACGGCGTGGGGAGAGAGGCATTCGTCCCGAAGTTGATGTAACAAGAGGCTTAAACTGACCGTTTGATTACCGTTTACACACAACTCTCTACGTTCAAAAGGAAAGACCGCGGAAGCGTGTGTATGACGAATACAGCGGCGCTTTGAAGCGCTTGAGCACCGTGTTTTTGTGGCACGGTTATTCTATCGTTGCAAAAAAACAAAAGTTGCTGGCATCACGATTTTTTGTTTAACGGAAAAGCCGCGTAACGTCGATACCCCGCGGTCTGCTTGTATAACATCGCACATCCTGGCTTTGACATTCCTCATCGAAGACATCAGTGTAAAGCATCAACCGCATCAAAACATCAACAGGCCGATGTGTACATCTCCTTCACGAATGGAAACTGAAACACAAGTCAGTAGTGCGATTGTGGCCATGCAACCAAAACTGTGGACTATTATATAAACCGCTGCGCTCCTTCGACGAAGGAGGAATAGCTAAACTGTACCAACTCTCTCCTGATGCCCTCTCAACATTGACATATAGCTCCTGAACATATTGCCACACACAAAAATAGAATCGTTGGCGAGACTTACAATCGCCGTGGCACATTCGTTGAGGAGAGGCGAACGCGTGGAGTCCACGAAGCCCATTTCCCCGAAGCGGTTTGCACGAGACAAATACAAAACGCAGCTCTCCCCCACCCCCAAACTAAAATCCTGATCACCCTCCTCATTCCACCCCATCTCTCTCACCCCTCCCCAAAAAAATCAATACACAACAAACCGCATTAATAATCACAACTGCTGGGGAAAATAAACCCCCCAAAAAACAAATTAGAGGACCGCCTTTTGACAGACTTTGAGCCATTGTAAAGTCATGCACAATGTTTATTAATGAGAGGGGTCGTGATTGCGTATAAATAATAATAGTAATAATGCGTGTTAGCCCAGTAAAGCAGAAACTCCATTAATTAAACATAAATATTAAATGCGAGCCTTTTACCATGCAGGTTAAAAGGTTGTGTGCTTTGATTAAACGGGAACACACGTCCAACACCAGAAAATAAATACATATTTAAACATTAGAACTGTCGCTATGAGCTGCGCCAAACTTACATAATAGAGTCCGATATTTAATACACGTTGAATGAGTTGCAGGAAAACGTGCTAAAAAGCGGGCGTATTTTTTTTTCGAGATTCATACTGTGTTTATAAAGTCTTCACGCTTTACCATACATTCACTTGTGCCCGTGCTTAGATTGTATTGTAAAAGCAACAACATGATTTCTATTTGATTGAAAACAAAACAACCTACCTACATATATACACACATTACCTTACCTGCATCCGTAAAGCTCGTCACGTAATGAAATTCATCATGAACATCGCATGAATAAGCCAGTTAATAATTGCATAGACACCTCTCCTTCGCTGCACACGTGAAAAGCAGCCCTTCTTTACGCTGGTGAAAGCAGATTCGATTTATATGCAATTGAAAACAAAAGAACCTCCCCACCTAGCTGCATACCTATTGCCGACCTGCATCCACATCTCATCCGCACGCTGAAAGTAATTTCAGCACCGTGGACAGCGCAGGAACAAGCCAAGAGTAATACAATGACATGGGAACCTCTCTTAATGGTTGAACACGTGAAAGCGGCCCGTCTTAACAATTACAGTAATAACACTGCAATAATAAAACAATAACGGATCACACACACACACAATAAATTAAATAAACATCTTCAAGAGAAGGCGATCAAACGTGATCTTCTTACCCGTCAATATTTCCCGGCGAGAGGCGTCCGGTGTGATGATGGTGTCGGTATGAGCTGGGGGAAGGTTGCGCCTTACCAATTGAGCCCCAAATCTGGCACGCGGTTAAGCCCCCGTCTCGATCAGCTGAGCGCAGGGGTAGGGACTCACGGGCAGAGGGGGTATACTACCACCGTCATCTCCAGCCGGCACAGCCAAGACCAGCAGCCCCCCACCACCCCAACTCCACTAACCCCCCCCCCCTTCTCTCTACCCTGTACCTGTTGCCTTGTCTGTACCTTCAACGTGAAGATTAAATACACATACGTGCACACATACACAAACAGTCATGCGTGTGTCTGCATGTGTGTATCACTTGAGTGTGTACACTTTCTTGTTTTGCGGTATATATTATTTCATAAATATTTAGAATCGTTGTCGTTGGGTTTATCACACCTCTCCGAACACCTCTCACTCACTCCTCTCTCTTAAGGCAGCAGCTGTGCGTTGTGGGCCAGCATCACTCATCCCGTACCAGCGTGGCAATACTATGTGTAAAGCAATTTCTCTCAATGCCATGCGTTCTCATTATCATAATATATGCTGTGCTAACTTGCGGCGCGGATTCCCTCCCCCACCCACTCCCGCCATAAATTATGTTAATGTTACACGCAATTGTCCCGCCCAACGCTGCGCTTTCGCTTCAATAATTAACATAAAATAGATCCGCGTGGACCACGCCCCCCCCCCTTCCCCCCCCCATCTTCGCCTTCCGCGCATTGCGTAGCCGAAAAGGCTGCGCGACCACCGCGGTCAGCTGACGAGGGCCGGAACTACTTTCTTCGCAAGGCACGTGACCGCGCGACATGGCCGACGTAAATAAGGTGCGGGGAGAGACGCGGGGCCAACCCGTCCTACGTCTTCCTCACTTGCCCTGTAACACTGTGACGGTGCCCAGGACGCATGCTAGCCTGCGTGTGTGTATGTGTGCGCGCGCGCGCGTACACACAGCATTGCTGTCCGTTGCCAATAATGTCTGTACTGTGTGGTGAGTGCTGTACGTGGCACGCACTGTTTGGGGACTTGTGTACCTGGGACCTACTGTTTCGTGGTACGTGTACTGTACGTGGCACGTGTACTGTTTGAGAACTATACTGTACCTGGCACGTACTGTTGGTGGTACGTGTACTGTACGTGGTACGTATTGTTGGTACTGTACGTGGTGCTTACTGTTTGGGGACTATATTGTATCTGGCACGTACTGTTGGTGGTACGTGTACTGTACGCGACACGCACTGTTTGGGGGCTATATTGTATCTGGCACGTACTGTATATGTGCTGTACATGGTACGTTACTGTCCCCCGCACAACTACTGTATTGTGTACTGTGTGTACAGTGTGCTCGTCACTGTGAATGCCTGTGCAGTATACGCAGGAACTATACTGCGAGTACTGTATGTGGTAGAATATCACAGTACTGTTGTACCTCCTGGTGAATGTGTACAGTCTTACACCACCGTTTTGATGCTGCCAGTGGAGTGCAATGCGTAAAGTACGGTGCTTTCTGAATACCGTGTACAGAATTCCCATGGGGAATACTGTATTGTGTACATTCTCTATGCGGTACTCTACCCATGCAGAATATGTACGAGCACTGAACTCGGTGAATAGTTTGCGTATAGAATGCACAATGCAGTGCCCATGGGGATATTTTGTGTACATTTGTGTCCGTGGTTAATAATAAGATCGGCGAATACTCTTTCCACGCCTCCTGGGCGGTACTGTCTTCTTTGTTGGCTGTCAATGTTTTCGGTCATTTTATCGACCGAGCGAGGTGCCCTGCCCATTCCCACTTCCTCTTACATCTGCAACTTGGTTAGTTTCTCTAATCCATGACTTCCTCTTCCGGTCTCTTCTGTAGACACGTGGTTAAGTTTGACAAAAGCAACACTCATATTCTGCAGTCGCTCGCCTCTTTGTTCCTGCACAAATCAAGGCCTTGAAATAATATAAAAAAATTATCCAATCCGTTTATATAGAGAACGGTTAGTTAAAACTTGAGATGTTGTAAAGAAAGTGACATTAACAATACTCAAGACAAGGAGATGCACTCTCACCTAGGCTGAAAAAATGATAAAGCAATAAATGGAGAGTGTATTTTACAAATTTCAATATAAACAATGTTAATGCACTCGAATATGAAGGCCTTATATTTTTTTAAAGTCCCGAAAAGCTGAGCTGAAAGATAAATACGAGCAAAATAAAAGTCGCGTATGACACGTTAGCTGAGCAAAATGACATAAATGCTGGAGGGATACAACAGAGGTCTACGTTAGAAGTGTTAATGCGGGCGTATGAATATATTATCCCACTCGATTCGTTTGTGATTAATCTTGCCGTCATACAATAGTGGGTTGAAAAGGAAGGATGTGAAGAGTTAACGTGTTCCGGTAATCGGCAACCGTTTCGTCCAGCGACACTTTAAGAGTAGAGAGAGAGCAGAAATATCGACGTGCATTTGGAGATTTGCGATTACAATGTGTTCCACGAAACGCCAAAGTTGACGTGAATGCTGTTGCAATTGATTCACGAACAATTTTTTGTTCTATTCAACCATCAAATAAGGATACTTAGAAAATCAAAGCAAAAATCACGACAATCTGTGGGTTTTTTTTTCTGCTGTTATATTTTGAAAAAACTTTGGCAGGTCACGCCGTTTATACGCCTAAGCCAGGTTCCACTATTTCTTACATTACTACATGCACTTTTCGAGATGTATACGAGCACAATTATATATTTTTTTGTCCCCAATTAATTGCATCATATTTAGTTGCTTGAACTATGTATGCCCCATCATACATATGCAGTCGTGTTCACGTGTTAGTGCACTCTATGCATACAGTCCTCTTGCGTTGTACTGCATACACTACATTCCTGCATATGTGGATTTGTGCTTCTGGTCGTAGTGGAGATCTTATAGAATGTTACGCCTCGGATACATCTTAGCAGTGCTTATTTGAATTCTGTGCAGAACATACATATGCAAGACTTTTCACTGTGGTGTACGGTCATACCCTGATTTAGGTCTCACTCTTTTACGTCGTTTCGCAAATACGTCGGATCGCGTTATTAATACTACCACCTGATTTGCGTCGCCTCAACCCACACGTCGCTCGTATCCGTCGCCTGAGCCATCGCCTCCCATCTATCCTGTAATGTGGTTTGATTTACGTCGTTTCGATATTCGACGCACGTTTCAGGAACCGCATCCCCGATGTAAAACGGGGTATTATTATTATACCTTGATAGGAGATTACACAATCCTTCTGTGTGTGAGTGCTGCACACTGATCTGCAATCAATAGTGGTGTATTTAGAGCCCAGGGAAGTTGGGATTATTGTTGACATGGGCTTGGTACTCATGGTATATGCGTGTGTGTTTGGTAGAGGTAGTGCTAGTCCTCTCTTAACCTCATATTCCAATGCTGGCCATGTCACTAGTGGGCGACGAAACGAATAAACGTCACTATCAATTCCCTAAACAAATAACTTCCGTCTAAGTTGTAACCACACCTGGTGTGTAGACAGCTGTGTGTTATAGCAAATGTGAACAATGCAGCTGTTTGCTGTCAGTGCATTGTTTCACATTTAAGTACTATTTTATATTGCCACATAATAAATACAAGTGATACATTGTTAGAGGAAAGTTACTTGTAAATCGTTAATGAAATATAGACACCTATACAGTACATGCATTTTGTATAGTTGTCCCAAGTAATTTTTATATAATGTTTCAGTGTAAATAGTGTTTCCTAAAGTTTCGATGGCAAGTGCACATCCATTTTCAGGGGTATTTTCAAACATGTGCATGCCAGTACTTTGTTTTCTATCATCTTGTCAGTGTTTTTTTATATTTTACAAATGTACGAACACAGCAGCTTTAAGCGTTATACTGCCACAATGTTGAGAACTGGTGTAATTGAATGCGCAATGTTAGAATTAAAAGCATGCTGTTTTAATAAATGTGTATATCCTTCCCAGGAAACCTTTAACACTGGCGACTCTGAGGATGACTCCGAGGTAAGTTGGTTATTATTTTCAAATTTACTTCTGATGTTGAAGCATAATAATTGTTTTTTTTTTACCCTTTTATCTGGCAACAAAACTGACACCTTTTTTACAAGGAGTCATGTATGCATTGACCACAATACTTGCGGTCGGAATGCAAACAAAAAACATAACTCTGATAATGTATGCACTGTCCTTGAAATTGATTGGTCCACACCCAAGACAGCTTTCTTTAGAGCTAACATGTACGAATATAAGGTGTCAGTTTTGTTGCCAGATAAAAGGATAAAAAACAATTATCATATTTTGCTACTGGCAAAGGAGGTTCCAATGATGTTGAAGCATGTTTCCGTTAATATGAAATACTATTTAGTGAAAGAGATTCTTCAGTTTTTTTATCATTTTAAACCTCCACCAAAGATGGCTGGCCAGGGTATTATCCATAAATTCTGGTGTCCTCCAGTTATTCAAACAAATAACTGGAAAAGTAGAAAAATATTGTTACGTAATGCGTTTCGTTTACCGCGAGGAACACAAAGGGCTATGAAAACGGTGAGATTTGTGACATTGATTGCCTTGGTGGAGCCCATGAAATGCCCTGTGATTTGAGCGAAGTGGATGCCGGATGATGATTTTTGGGGTCAAGAGCAGGAAAAGCTGAACATGACACCAATTTTGTCAAATCTGTGACTGCACTTAATGCAATCTAGAGGGATGAGAAAAGATTGCTTTCAAGCCAAGGTGCAGCAGTCAATGAGAGTGCAAGAAAAATGTGATCAGTTAACAGCTTGTGCCAGCCCATAAGAGCTTGCCAGCAGTATAAGCTTAATAAATCTACCAAACATAACCTCAATGGTCTCACGTATTATTTACCAACCGAATTCATTTAACTTAAAATAGTGCTTTCATTGTTGGTGTAATTTTCTTCAGTACGTTTTTTTGGTGTGTT